GGAGAGGGAAAATCTGGCAGCCACGTGCAATACGAATGCTCCTCCTGATCTCAAAGAATCTTTTAACATCAGTTCGCGGAAAGAAAAAAACAAGTGGCCTGACTTATCGAGTTTTGAAAGTATTTGTATGAATTATTTTGATAAAATGGTTAAATTAGCGTCTATTATCATGCAGATTTTTGCTCTTGCTCTTGAATTACCTGCAAATTATTTCAATGAATACATTACGCCTTCAAATGCCATATTACGCTTTCTCAATTATCCGAAGATTACACATCAACCCTTGCCTCAGCAGTTACGAGCTGCCGAACACACCGATTACGGTACTCTTACAATTGTTCGACCAGATTCACCCGGTCTTCAGGTACGCGACCGCAGCGAAAATTGGATCGATGTTAATGCACCGTCTGACAGCTTCGTAGTGAATATTGGAGATATGATACAGCGGTGGACCAACGATAAATGGATGTCAACACTGCATCGAGTCACTAATCCTGTTGATGGTTATAATAATCGTCGGCAGTCAATCGTGTTTTTTCACAATCCTTGTGATGATGTTGTGATTTCATGTTTGGACACTTGCCACAACACTGACTATCCGCAACGTTACGAACCAATGAAGGCCGGAGATCATAGAAGGGCCAAAAGTCAAAAGAGTCGACAGTAGCTGTATATTTAAGAGAGATCCACCAGATATCTAATTTGCCTAGTATTACCTTAACACATTTAAACTTATAACTACTTCTGTACCTTTTATTATTTTATTTGTTCTTCCAATTTCATTTTTGAATCACTTTTATTCTTTTACTCCTGTTTAGACTTTTGCGCTTTTTTTATTGCAATATCATGCCTTCTTCAATGTTAGTAGTTTAGAATGATAGGGGTATGGGTGGGTGTGGTTTAAAGGCAAATTCTAGATCCACACCCGCCCACTCCAACACTCACATCCTCTCGTTCACTGAGCTGAACCTAACCCATAGGAGTCCGTTAAAGAGTTTGATCATGCTAACCGCTTTTATCAGAATTCTTATTCGGACACTGTAGCGAGAGGTAATCATTATGAGAAAATATTTGTGGAAAATTCCTGCAAGATAGGATATCATATCTAATTTAGATACCTAATCAATTCTCGTTTGTTTTCGCTTAGAAAAATTGAGTAATGATATTTCAAAGAGCGATAATTGCCAGTGACAGAAACGATCAAAGTATGCTAGCATATGTCTTTATCATTTTCATCTCTGTCATTTGTCTAAGGAAATTCTACTGTTCCGACAAAATCTATGATCAGCGCTTTTTTTTCAAATATAGTTCACAGAAGTCTATAATGATTTTCTGTTGCTTTCTCTAATATTATATAAATGTGAGGGTGTGGGTGAGTGTGAGTGTGCGATTCATTGAAGAAAGATTAACACATTCACACCCACACCCACACGCACACGCTGATAAACACAATAAGAAGCAATGAAAAAATATTCGGAAACATCGTGAAGCAGATAACTCAGAAAAAGACGAGTCGAAAATGGCATTCCTTACATTTTTTTCAGAGAAGAAAACTGATTATTCATGTTTTGTTAAGATTAAACAAGTGAACTCTTGCCATTTCAAACCAAAAAACAACGTTGTTTTTTTTTCTAACTTTTAAAACGAGCTTACGTTTCGATGCTGTACATTGTGCTTAGACATGATCTGCGTTCTGATCGATCCTTTTCTCAGCGATCGATATTGATGTTCGTTCAGACCTTCAGTTTTTCGAAAAAAGAACTTGCGTTTGGGTATAGGTTTGGCTGTAGAACGATGCCGGTGGGTATGGTTGTTAGAGTACTCTTTACATGCACACTCACACAGTCATCCTCATTTCAACCCTATTCCTCCTCCACTCTCGCAAAATAAGAAGAAGCGATGGCTGCATAATTTCCGCACCCATATATCTCTAATTTGAAATTTGAAAGTTAAATTCAATTTTCAAGCTTGACACTATTGATTACGAATGACATGAGCATTATTTTATTTGTCTAATTTGATTACTATATCTTTCAACTGTAGTTTTGAGTATATATCTATATTTCCTATATTCGACTATTCAACTATCGTCAAATTCGACTATCAAATAGTTTTTGACAGTATTGTTCTTTTGTGAGTATGTACCATGGATGTTGTAAGCCAGTTGGAGGATAATATGCATGATGGCTATACTGGAATTGACTTTGTGCAATAAGTTGACAGGAAGCAGCATTGTTTGGATGATGACCAGCAAAAATTTTACTCACATTTAAATGACAGAATGCATACGATATTGCAGCATCTCCGGCTTCCGAAGCAAATCCTTGTCTCCAAAATTTTGGTAGAATATGACAACCCAGTTCAACTGTGTTCTTTTCTTTGTCATATGGACGAAAACCACAACATCCGATATGTTCTCCAGTTTCCAAAATAAATATGGGCCAATATTGAAAACCGCATTCTTTCATATTTTTGATCTCATATGAAAAACGTTCTTGTATTTTTTCAATTGTGAATGGACCACCAATTAGCTTTGTAACAGCATTGTCGCTCCAGAGATTTAAAGCTAATTGAAAGTCATTTTCTGTCCATAAACGAAAACCAATTCGTTTAGTTTGCAAAAAATATTCGCAATCATTTAAGAATCGTGTCGAGTTCATTTGTCAGGTAAAGTAAACTATGCAAATAACAAAAATTGAAAATATAACTTTCGGTTCAACACATGGGTAGTAGTTAGCCGATTAACATTCATACGATAACATATTAGCTTAAAAGTCATCCCTATATATGTTCGAATAGCAAGTAAAGTAATGGCGTGGGTTTCAGAAGAACACTACTTCTTAAAAATGCGCTCGATTGTATATGTCACGCTATTATTGTGTCTAATCGTCCACAAAAAAATTAATTATACAAAACTAAATTTCAAATAAAACATGTTCATTTATTACTAACTGCAAATAAAACAAGTTCTCGATAAATAAATGAGAATGTTTTTCTCTTAGCTAAATTCTGATCTTGTTGAAAAGAAACTATCATGTTACTCAGCTCTACGCTTGTAGTAAAGTTAGAAAAGTCAGACTTTTTTTATTTGCTGAATTGTGGACGTCACTAACAGTAACGCAAACAAGTTTTTCTTTAACTGGTCATTTCTTGCTCTTATTCTCTCTTGCAAATACCTAAAAAAAAGCTTTCCCTTCAGCATCATAACAACTGAGATATCCTAAAAATGTAACAACGTCACCGTTTTGTTACTGACGATATTAAAATCAAAACGTTCTTAGCTCTAAACAAAAACGACCTTTTCTTCTCCTACTATGCCTCCTTCTATTGTTCTATGTTTCTTTTATCATCTGCTTCTTTTTTTCTTCGTATCTACAGGTGTGTGTTGTGTGATGAAGCCTTATCTTTATCAACTATGAATAATTGAGTGGTTAAAGCTTTAAACGTATTTAAAACCAAAGAATGATGAACGATTTTGTAGTGCATATTTATTTCTTAAATTATTTGTAATTTAAATTAAAGCAAACTACAGACGTACATTACCGAAAACAACAAGCAAAGACAACAAGAGGGTGTAGGTATAGGTTGAAACAAGACGTACATGCATATTGACACCTTCTGGCAGTATATCTCTAAATAATGTAAATTAGCTTTCATGTCATCTCATTGGAATTTAAAATCATTTCATCAATGTCACATTTATTAATAATTGTAAAATATCTGATACTGCTATTTTCTTTGGAAGTTAAAATAATCAACCCATTGAAATTGAAGCTCCACTTTCATGAAAGTTCATATTCCTATTGCCAAATAAAATATAGAATTCATTAATAAGGAAAACCAGTTCGCTGGTCGTAAATTTAATTTTTATATAAAAATAATTTTTTGTCTATAATGTGATCAAATCAAATCCTTAATATAAGAAACGAAGAAAAAAAAATTATTATCAATTTACTTTAAAATGTTTACCTAATAGAATGTGTTCTCGTAAAATTCATACATGAAAAACAAAAAATGATTGGGCAAAGACAATTCACATGATATATTGTAAAGAAATTGATTCATCACACTTTACTTTCATCGAGCATAATGATTCTGTATTGGTTAGAAAACAGATAATTTATCAATGATTGAATCACGTTAATTGAAAATTACGATGTAATATAGTTATCCATTCAATCATAAAATAATAATTTTTCCTTGACGTTTTTTTTATATTCTTTATCGTTTGTTAAGTTTGAATTGAAAAGATCACATTGTTTATGTACAAGCAAAACTTTTCCTACAGTTTTCTTGTTGAACACTAAATAAAAAGATTGATAGGTAGTTATTTTTGAAGATTATTTTAGTGTGATTAGACGTTCGTTCAAATAAAAATTTTTGCTTTATCAACTGAAAACAGTTCATAATTTTTCTGCATTAGTAAAATAATCATGAATCAAGAATAACTAAGATTTTTTGTTCATACTTTTTTTTTGCTTCTCTCAAACAGTACCATTTTTTTTTACCAAAAAAGAAAGCCTTTATTTCCAGAATAATCCGTCACTTGAAAATGTTTCTTCATAAGATTTCTTTCTATACCTCTACACAATTGCAAGAAATGATATTTATATTGAACTTTTCTTCTGATTCGAGTTAGCAATGAAATCGGTATTTTTCTTTGACGCAATCTATTCAAGAAGACTGGCAAACTTCATTTATACAATAGTCGTGAAATGAAAAAAGCATATAGATTGCATGATCTATTTGCCTTCTTATACTTTTTTATTAAAAATTAACGCACTACGTAGGCTGTCATAGTCGTCTACATTGATACATCCCTCGACGGCCATTTGTCGATTGTTATTCTTATGCTCTTTGGTTTTTTTTCTTTTTTCGTTTTGCACTGTGTCTACTTTTTCTCACAATATATTCCTCTCAATCGGTGAGAAACATCGGTATTTGATGAGATATGATAGAGAGAGTAGTATTTTGGAAGGGAGATGAGAAATGAGGATAAAATTTAATTCGGTTAGACATGAAATGTGGCATTCGACAAACATGAAGTTTGTGTTTTTGTCCTTTGTATTTTTCTATATGCAGTTGATACCGGTATATATTATCTCAAAGATATGTAGCAATATTTCGATCGAACACCAAAAGTTACTTTTCATGAGACAAAATGGATCAATGAATTTTTAATTAAAAAAAAATCCTACAAGTCCAGTGTATTTTGTAATACCTTGGCAATACATGATGTGAACAATCTAAATGGAACAGAACTATACCAAACCAGTTGGAATCATTTAACAAAAATGACATTAACAAGAATGAAGGATGCGTTTGTTGTTGGTCGTGCACAATGAATTCATCGATTATCGTATTCATGTAAGCTTGTTGATCCCGTGTTGACGACAGGTAAAATAACTTATAAAGAAAAAACAAAACCAAATTTCGCCACGTTATATGCTATTTGAACAGAGTGTAGCATGGGTTGATATCACTACACACTTTGTTTTGAATGATCGTTACGTGATAAACATGGAAATGATGCATCCAAGTACAGGTAAGGAACTGCAATACAAATCTATGATCAGCTATTATAATCTTTTTACTGACCTGATGTCTCACTGATACTTTTATCAATTGTATCTACCAAAGCATTTGTCAGTTACAATTGTATCTGACCATTCTAACTGTTGGAGATCATGTAATATTAATTGTTTGTTAACAACAGTCGAAGCAAATAAAATTTTACAGCAATAAAAAACAAGAATTTGTTTCCTGTGATTTTTTGGATGTCACTGATCAAATAATTAGTGAGAGTTATTCAACAAGAGGTTATGTTTAGGAATAATATTGAGATGTTTCTATTATTTCCTTGAAAAACTTCAGTTTTTAGCAGACTTACATTTTCTTCATTAAGAATATACTATGTACCTTAATTTGACCATTATTCGCTGTATGGATGATTTTGTCACCACACTTCAATAAAGGATGAGCTGATGTACCGTTGTGTCCGTTGTTCACTGAAAAGGTTGCGACATATTAATATCGTCAGCATCTTGGATCAATCATAGTCACCAGTTGATTTGTTTTGATGACCTAGTATGACTTCAAATACAACTGGATACAACAGTCTGAAGAATCTTCAAAAGTTACAGAAGAAAAAATTGACAAAATTCATGATATATGTGAAACTGTGCCACTCTCGAATGTTCGGCTTGTTGGAATAATCGCCTTTATTCCATGAATAAAATCAGGCTGAATTACGACTGAATATCCTCTAATGAAACCAACAAGATGCAATTTGTTCAACAACAATCAAGAAAGTTCGTATTTTTTTTGGAGGAAATCTCTTGTCATTTAAATAGTTTATCGTTCAATATAAAGTGAAAACCTATGTGCATAAGACATTTATAAAGGTTTAGTTTAATTGAAAATAAGAATCGATAATGGAAAAAAATTAATTCGACAATAAATTTTGTGTAGTATTTTTTTGAAGATTTCAAAAAGAACAGATTTATGTTTTTCAATTGATGGTTATCGTTTTAAACACTTTTTGTAAATCAAATTATATAAAATAAAGCTTAAAAGAATATTCTATCATATTATTAAAAAAATTGATAAAATCGCTTGAATTGTTTAAAAGATATTGAATACATGATTATCTTTCTTCAAATGAATATATATTCAAAATGTTAATTGCAACTGGATTTCTTTTTAGGATACAGGTAATTTTAACAAAATTATTTTTCAAGAAAAGGAAAATAAAGATAAAAATGGTTCAAATATACAGTCAGTTCAGTAGTCAATAATTGTTTCACTTGTGTGTAATTGATCCGTGTTAAATCACTTGTGAAATTGTTCGTTACAATTACTAATTGTTCATATTGTATCATTAATGTATTAAAGTTGAGAACATGTATGTTTTTATGATATAGAAATTGAAAAGCATAGTCAATGTGTACACCCATGAGATCCAGTCTAATCAAATTTGAATATTTAATAATTGAAGACATTTGCTTGTCATTAAGTATTTTCATTTTATGCTTATTTTCTTGTAGTATCAAATTATATAGTGTGAAATATTTGAGCATAGAAAATGTTCGAGCAATCCATTCAAAGACATCATGTTCAAATGAATATGTACCGTACAATTTCAAATCAGTAACAAGCCAAAAATGTTTATCACGAAAACAATGAACAACATACGTAATACGAGTCATTTTGACTATTGTAGAATACATATGACAAACATCTTGTCGATTTGAGAAATAATATACAAAACAATTAACTAAAGAATATTTCCGATCAATAAATGTCTTCTAAATATCATTAGCTGATAAAAATTGGTTTGTATTAGAAGTAGAAATTGTTGTGAAAATATCAAATGTAAATGAATTTAGTTTTACTATATGACTAAGAACTTGTTTATCAAGATGAATACCATCAATGAATCTCTTTCGTGCTATATTAAGATATAAAGTAAGATCTTTCAAATTTATCGTACGACGAAGAAGTGATACAATATGACAATCATAAGCATTAATAAGTGAATAACTAGTCAAAGAAAATTATATTAGGTTTGATAAAACATTTTACAAAAAAATTCATCATTAAAAAACGTTTTAACAACTTTATATCGAGATAAAATAAATTTTGGGGTGTGGGTGTGGCAAGGGGGAAAGCAGACTTCTGTACTTCTTTGTACATCGTGGTACTTTTCGTACTTTTTCGGGACTTTTCAATACTCTTTGGTACTTTCCGTACTTTTCGAGACTTTTAGGTACTTTTCCGTACTTCGTGGTACTTTTTTGATACTTTTTTGGGCCTTTGTATTTCTGAAGTACGAAGTTCTGCTTTTTCACCCTTGAGCAATATGACGTCTTTGATATGAATTTATTAAGCATGTATGTATTTCAACAGTTCGATTCAAGGTCGAAAATGTTTGATCGCTTCACACCAACAATAAATAATCATGATAATGAATTGAATCTTGACGATGAAGACGAAGATAATGAAGAGGATAATAGTGATAGTATTGACAGCATTCTCATTGATGATGAAAAAGCAAATGATATTATTGGTGGTCAACAAGATGGAGATAATGATAGTACAACGACGATAAAAGCAAATTTTTATGATATGAAAATTTGTGAGGAAATTGAACCACGTCAACAAGATGCTTATTTCAAGGTACAAATTAATGTTGTTAAAAAAGCTGTTAGCACAATTCTTGTAAGATTAAAGCCTGAAACGCGATCGATCTGCTTAGGTGATAAATGAGAAAATACTATGATGACTTTTATGGTCTGTGGCGACCTTTGCCTAGCATCTGTCACGGTCTGTGATGTTTCCGTGTTAATGTCTATCACGGCCTGTGATGCGTAATTAATTAAATAAATATCAATTAAATAATTGCTTCAGATATCTGTCACGGTCTGTGATGCCCAAGTAATTAATTAGGTATCAATGAATTAATTAAGACGTGCGTCACAATATGTGATGGGTAATTGTTTAAAAAATAATTATTTAATTAATCATTAAATTAATTAAAATGTCGGTCACGATCTGCGGGAAGGGGTACAAATTTCTAATCTATACACTTTAACACTCTTCTAGATCATGTTTCACAAAATATCTACATAAGCACTCGGCTTGTTGGTTAATAACCGAAAGAAATATACATTTATCAAATGATCGTCTCTCTCGGGTCATTCAAACAAGTGATACAGATAATAAAAATGTCTTTTAATTTATTGTTCAGGCGGAACTTTTCCTTACAAATAAATCTCGAGATATTTCCAAGTACATTCACACGCTTCTACACATTTCATTATAGTTCAATATATTTCTGTGTGCTCCTTTGTATTTTTTCGTACTTTCTGAGGAAGGAACCACCTCAGGTGTCAAAAAGCTTTTCGGTCGCGGATATAATGGTTAGATAGGGCATAGCTAGGAGTGATATATCCTGAGTTGGTTCGTGCGCAAGTTGAGATTTGGCTGAGATATCGACTTTTTACTAGAATTTCCTTATGGGACTCCATTTTCCCCATAAAATCAAAGTTTCGAGTTTTGACGTGAAACTTTACCCATATCAAGGTCTCAACTAGAGTAGCTCATCTACAAAGTTTCAGAATTTTTAGACTAAGTATTCCCAAGATATGAGTCTGTTACCATAAACATAGTTTTTACGGATATTGCTGTATACATGGAAATTTAGAAAACATGATATCTTGAGAATGTTTCGACCAAAAATTCTGAAACTTTGTAGATGAGCTACCCTAGTTGAGACCTTAATATGGACAAAGTTTCATGTCAAAACTCGAAACTTTGATTTTATGGGAAAAATGGATTCCCATAAGGAAATTCTAGTAAAAAGTCGATATCTCAGCCAAATTTCAGCTTACGCACGAACCAACTTAGGGTATATCACTTCTAGCTATACCCTATCTAATCGTTATATACGTGACTAAAAAGCTTTTTAACAATTCGGCTAGTTCCCTTGTGAGACTTCTTGGTACTTTTCGGTACTTCGTGGTACTTTTTGGTACTTTTTGATACTTTTTTGGACTTCTGTACTTCTGAAGTACAAAGTCCTGCTTTTCCCCCTAGGAGGCATTACACGTAAGCCACGACCGACCTTGCGCAATCGATCCCATCAATTTGGCTGATATTTTCACAGTAAGTTGGCCTAACATATTTAGGAAGAAACCCAAAATTTCAGCTCAAATACATAAGCCAGTCTGGAGATATAGTGGACACAACTATTGGGGGGGGGGGGGGGGGGGGGGGGGGGGGGGGGGGGGGGGGG